GTTTGCTATGAGACAGATAATTGAGAAAACAATCAATCTCCTCCATCTCCTTCCTGAATTATTACTGATTAAAGTAATGCACCGTTCTGACCAAAACAACCAATCAGAACAAGAAGGACGCTCTTAGCGTAGTCAATTAGCCTCATTCACTCACTGCTAAATGTGCTAATGGGGGAGAAACAACTTATCATTACAAGAAACTGTTTATCTGCTGTCATTGGTAGCTATGCTAACTAAACTGAGCATTCACAGTTTGAATCTGCACAGCTCTGTGCTATGCTAGCTGCAGCACGGCACAAATCGAGGGGGAGAAAGGATGAGCAGCACCACATGAGATTGTGACTGACAGCACTAAAACTCTCCTGCCACTGACTGGTTGTTTCTAGCACTGGGAGAAGGCAGAGGAAATAGATTTTTCACAGATTACCTCTCATACCATACTGTCACAACATAATGACAGTTTTAAAAAATATGTGAAAAAAATATTTATATAAAAGTGACATACTGCAGCTTTAATTTCACTCAGGAGATGACGGGTCAGGAGGGATGTGGGTTAGAGCTGCTGCTGATTGACTCATCTGTTGTTCAGTGGTAAAAGGCACAGAGAACAATTTAAATATATGAATATGTTGGTATTTTTTTTCCTTAATTCATTAAATGTTAGTGAAATGGAGGGTCTTAGCACTGTGAATTAGTACAGTAGTACAGTAGTCTGTAGCTAAGCTAATTATGCTAAATGGTTGATAATTTCACAGTCTACCCACCTCTCTTGGAGAAAAACTGGGTTATAAATTAACACTTGCCTTTTTCTCTCTCTCCCTCTCTCTACTTTGTTTTTGAAAAACTGATTTTATAACTTTTCTTAGCATAATAACGGCTTCAGTCGCTGCTGTATTCAGTTGCAGCTTCTACCGACTGTAGCTGCATACGTCACTGTGAAGCCCCAAGCAGGAACAAACCATTTCATGCAGATCCAGGGGGGTTCAGGGAAAAATGTATGTTTTTTGATCTGGGAGGGGTAACATTAAATTTTTACTGCTAAAAATCTAAAAATACAATATGATTAATTTTGTATTTGACAGGGCCCCAATTTTTTTATTTTATGTCTATAAACAAAATATAAATAATTAAATTGTGGAGGGCCCCCTGCTGGTCAGGGCCCCTAGAATCGTCATCACTTTTCACCCCTTTACCGCACCCCTGAGCTTTTGTATAATAGAGAAGACTCGATTTAATCTTTGTTTAATAAGAATACAGTAAGAAATGTGTTTATTTGTCTTCACAAGATATACACAAACAATAAATGTTGAAAAGATTGGATAAATTCTATTAAACAAAATACTAGAATATATAAAAAAAACACTGAATCCACTGTAAGCTCATAAAAATATTCTCTCCAGCAACCTACCTAATCATCCTCATCATTTATTAATAAAGTGCTTTAAAAACCAAAATGTTGTGCAGGTTGCTCTTCAGTCATTCAAAACTGTAGATTCCATCAGAAATGTTTCCCAGCTTGCAAAGATAAGCTTCATGTAAATCTGCACCACTGACCTTTGACAAAATGAAGAATAACTTTCTGTCTGACGACGTCACTTTTCCTGTAGATGGTGCAGATGTAGACTCCAACATCTCTCTCTGTGGGGTATTTGATGCTCAGACTGAGGTCTCCACTTTTTACTTGCTCTTTATTCATTCTTGTACGTTCACAGTAAAACTTGTCTTGTTCTTTAGCTTTGTTGCTGCCATTCTGATACACATAGACAATCATGAATTCTGGTTCAGAGCGGGTCCACTCCACAGTGTCGTCCTCCTCAATGTAAGCTGTTGTTTTACAGGGCAGAACTGCAGACTCCACTCCCTCCTGCACCGTTACCTCAACCTGTTGAACTGAGGAGACAAAATGGGGTAAATTTTACACGTCTATACTTCATACTGCTAGTTGCAAGGGATTTGGCAAGTATTACCAATGCTTGAATCCTTCTTCAAAGTGGCCTTTACAAAACACTGTCAGAGTATCTGGCAATTTGAAAGCTTGGGTTGGTTGAGTGCAACAGGAATATAAAAGAATATGAAGCTGACCATTACTTGACTTTTACTAAAGAATGATCTTCAGGATGTCTACAGTCCTTTTCACAATATTTGTATTGGCTATTGTTCTATCAAATTACCACACGCTGTAAGAATAGCATATATATACAGTCAGTACCATACCTGCGCATTAAGAAGTCCAACCATCAGAGGAGTTAGTTGTCAGTTCATCATGCACAATAAGTTATGACGAAAATAAGTCATTAAATTGTTTTCCATGATAACTATATAGATATACATGCGTTGTCATGGTTTCAAAGTGTATTTAAAGCAAGGTCTGACTGCAGCTGCAGTCAACTACAACACGCCTGTATAAAACTCATTTACCTACTTAACCACCAAGTCAGGATGCCATACAACTGTTAATAAAGGGTATGATGATCTACGTCATGATTCTATGTTGTTGATTAAATAAAATCATGTGGTAATGACGTGTCTGACAGATATAGCCGTGAGTTTGTGCTAAGCGTATGACGATCTGATAGCATATGCTGACCTGACAGAGCATTGTACTTGGCTTTCTCCCATTTACTTGGATTCCTCCAGAACAATTTCAACTAGGATAATCAGTGAACAGAATAAATTCTGAATGATGACATAAATTTTTCTGTGATGCTTTAGAACTGTAGTCTCCCTGTAGTTTTAGAAATTCCAGTGGAGAAAGTGAACAAAAGCATTCAGTCCATGTTGGCCACGCTTCCAAATGTTGAATTAACATGAACAACCACCTCGCTCGAATTGGCTTTTCTCTCTTTACAGGTGAGGATGGTTGTTTCCATCCATCCATCCATCCATCCATCCATCCATCCATCCATCCATCCATCCATCCATTCTCTTCCACTTATTCGGAGTCATGTCATGGGGGTAGCAGCCTATGTAAAGAGGCCCAGACTTCCCTTTCCCCAGCCACTTCTTCCAGCTCCTCCGGGGGAACCCCAAGGCGTTCCCAGGACATAGTCCCGCCAGCGTGTCCTGGGTCTTCCTTTGGGCCTCCTCCTGGTAGGACTTGCCCAGAACACCTCATCAGGGAGGCATCCTGACTTGATGCCTGACAACTGGCTCCTCTTGACGTGAAGGAGCAGTGGCTCTACTCTAACTCCCTCCCGGATGACTGAGCTTCTCACCTGGTTGTTTACAGTGCAGGAAATTTCTGTTAAGCTTCAGAGCATCAAACTTGCGCATTACATATGTCACAGCCAATAATTAGTGATTGGGTTAAATTAAAAACTCAGACTGAGCCCAAGCCTTCAAATGGCCCCTTTAAGCATTTTTCTTATTTGTCTGCAGCCCATCTAGTTTGCTGAGAGAGCACAACTCACATAAGGAGGTCTTATTCCTAGATGTGGAAATTGCAGGTTCGATTCCTGGCCTGATGACTTTTGCCGCATGTGTTCCCCGTCTTTCATTATCCACTTTCCTGTCTACTCTCAAATAAAGGCTGCCTGAGCCAAACCCCACCTTATCCCCCCCCTAAAAAAAAATCAATAAAAAATCAATAGGAATTAAATTAAAATTAGTTACTGACCTTTGACCTGCAGTTGAACATCTGTCACTCTGATCTCTTTTCTGTCATTACTGAGGATGCAGGTGTAGGTTCCACTGTCGGAGAGGTGAGGTTTTCTCAGGGTGAGGCTGAAGTCAAGAGAATCTAAAGCATCAGATTTCATTGATGTTCGTCCACTGAAACGTTGATTTTGTTCTCGAAGATCATCTTCTTCTCTCCGCAGATGGACTGTTTGTGGTTTGAGATCATAGCGTCTCCAGATCACTGAACGGTTTCGCTCTGGCAAATTACCTGAGTACTTGCATGGCAGCACAACTGATTCTGCTACCTCAAAAACATTTTGTCCCATTGCAAAGGAATACAGGGAGGCTTAAAGGAAAGAAAAATCAGACAGTTAACAAGTATGTGAAAGCATTAGATACATAGTCAAGCGAATCTTTATCTCAGTATTAAACTCTTAGATTTAATTAGTTTTTATATTTGTAATATTGTGCATGGATGAGATGGGATGGCATTTTGTGGGATGTAAAGAGAAACAGATTATATTTATATTTATTGGTTTTAATGCTCTCCAAATATCACTTAAGTGAAAGTTTTACTTATGGCCTCAGATGATGCACCTTGAGGTGTTTATACACTGCTCAAAAAAATAAAGGGAACACTCAAATAACACATCCTAGATCTGAATGAATGAAATATTCTCATTGAATACTTTACTAAATTTGATTTCCATTAATGATTTTTGTGTGATTTTGTTGTCAGCACATTCAACTTTGTACAGAACAAAGTATTCAATGACAATATTTCATTCATTCAGATCTAGGATGTGTTATTTGAGTGTTCCCTTTATTTCTTTGAGCAGTGTATATAGGAATGATACCTGTCAATGTTTTGCTTAGAAAGGTGGTGTAGAGGATGTTTTATAGCTGAAGCCACACCAGCTTCTCTCTGCCAATCCACCTAATTGCTAATGTTTGTGACATTCTTTTAGCAAGGTCTATCAACAGTGAACATGTGCCAATTTCCCCGATCTACATTACAAAATGACCCATTTAATATTGTTTAATTATACAAGAATCTTATTATATTGTAATATATTGCCAAAAATTAAAACTTAGTTTAGCAAATGTTAAGAAAATACATTTAAAATATGCTAGCTGTAAAACTTAACCATATGTTTCATATTAGATCAATTTAATTCTGTTTAAATAAGAAAATCCACTCCAAATTATATCCATGGTTCAATTAGCGTAATCTCTTATGGAGGATATTTCTATTGAAACATATTACAATAAGTTGAATTAAAATAACTTGGCTTGTAGTTCTCTATAATTTAAAACACAGCTAGCCTCTCTGTGGACTGAGCAGGCATTCACAGGGGGTCATGACTGTGTGTGAGTTTAACCTTTTGACCACTTTGATAAGAACAAGTATGCCCACTCCTGCTCAACGCCTCTCACAGTGGGCAACTCCAGAGTGGAAGTACGTCCAGCCCCTCTCAAGGAGACTGGTTCCAGAACCAGAACCATGTGTTGAGGTGAGGCCGACTATTTCTAGCCGGAACCTCTTAGCCTCGCACACTAGCTCCAGTTCCTTCCCCACCAGAGAGGTGACGTTCCACGTCCCAAGAGCCAGCTTCTGAAGCCGGGGATCAGACCGCCAGGGTCCCCTCCTTCGGCTGCCGCCCGTAGCACAATGCACCCGACCCCTTTGGCCCCTCCTACAGGTGGTGAGCCCGTTGGAAGGGGGACCCACGTCTTCTCTTCGGGCTGAGCCCGGCCGGGCTTCGTGGGTAAAAGCCCAGCCACCAGGCGCTCGCCATCGTGCCCCACCTCCAGGCCTGGCTCCAGAGGGGGATCCCGGTGACCCGCGTCCGGGCAAGGGAACACCAAGTCCAAAGTTTGTATTCATCATAGGGGTCTTCAGGCTGCGCTTTGTCTGGTTCCTCACCTAGGACCTGTCTGCCTTGGGTGACCCTACCAGGGGCATAAAGCCCCAGACAGCATAGCTCCTAGGATCATTGGGACACTCAAACCCCTCCACCACGATAAGGTTGCAGCCCAGGGAGGACAAAATGGCATAAAACCTGTTGCAGACCATCATGGAGTAATGATACTTATTTGAAGGGCTGCATGATTGAATTATTTTTAAATACCTTTTACTTAGTTAATGCATTTTCCCAAAAATAGTTTTTAGGGTTAAATTATTACTATCTAAAATCATCATGATGCAACACTGTCTTTTTTAGTCATGCATTTAATGAATTTATATTTTATTATTGTTAAGCTTCAAAAGATATAAAATTGTTTCCATGCTGGCTAATACTGTTGTTTTATTCATAAATAGCATAGTTGAACAACAAAGTTTAACATTTTCATGACTTGTTAGTGCAAAGCATAAGAATACAGTGTGATAAATGTATTGTGTTCTTCAACATCAGCTGCCAGATACAAAATGATCAATCTGTTATAGGTTGTTAAATAGAAAAAGTTAAAAATTATCCCAACATATTGACCTTTAAGAGAATCATTTCTTACCTTGTAGGAAAATCAGAAGGATCATTAAATTCTTGAAAATCCAGCCACTAAACTTTTCTCTTGTTATGAAGAACATAACTTTTTCAAGTAACAACTTCACAGAGACGTTTAATCTTAGTCGCTGTGACTGTTGTGAAGGGAGCGGCTGCTAGAATGAGCATAAACCAGCTAGGCAGCTTTCAGGCTGACAGTTTAGTTCCCAATCACTTTGCTGCTCCTCTGTCAGTTAAGCACTTAAAGATATTCAAATGGAGGTTTCTACTCTACACTTATGTGATGAAATGTAAAAACATTTAAATATCAAATAATGTTTCTTCAGATTTGAACATGCATATTATATCCATATAGAAAGTGGCTTATGAGGAGTTTGAAAGCTTCAGTCTTTTTTTATCATATAATTAGTCTTTGCTGAAAGGTTTTTCACAAAGAAACTGCTGTCCAGTGACTGTGGCTCTTCTCGTGTCCCAGTGCTTTTTAAATTCTCTTTCTGTCCTTCATGCTCAAAACAATTTAGTTTACTTACAATGTACAGCTCCAACTCACCGCAAATATCATTTAAAGGCACTTAATTTTGGCTTTGCTGGATGTTTTCTCCTATTAAGAAACACTGTATATTAGTTTGTTTCTTGACATATTTTTATTAGAGTATGAATATATAAGAAAAGCATTTGCAATGACATTGCTTTAAGATTTGGTTTGTATGGTCCTGAAATGACATGCAGTTTTTACTTGATAAGGAAATATTTAATAAAGTCTTGAAACAAAATATCTGAACAAACTGAAAGTTGTTCTTGTGCTGACAGTTGATGATTCACCTTTGTTGAATGTTCACATTGTTGTTTATGCCAAGTTTCTATTTAAATGTATGGTTTGTTCTCTGGAAACTGAAATACTACAAAGAGGATAAACAGGTCCAACACACCCACATACATAAACAATACCTTCCAAGAAGAATTCTACTGGAAACTTCTAACGAATTGTGTGACAAGTATTTGCCATATTTTGACTTAAAATCACCACTTTAGCAAGAAAATATTTGAACTTGGGATTCAGTTTTGTGTAGCTTGTAAACCTCTGACCATATATAAGAAGCAGAAATTCAAACTTTAAGGATAAATCTGTGTGAAGTTCAAATCACTAAAAAAGTAATGTGTCATGTAGCTTTGTCATGAAAGTTCTTCAGTTCCATTTTGTTTAGGTCAAAGGCAATCTGCTTATGAATATGTGTCTGTTAATCTGATCATTTTGGTTCAATGACTTTTGGTCAAAAGTATTTGAAGGCTTTGTCTCTTATAGTTAAATGCATCACACAGAGGCATGTGGGGTCTGGGCTCAGCCTTGGAGATGCTGGCACTGGGCAGTTCTTTTCACAGGCAGACTGGTTAGGCCCAAGGGTTACTACAGGATCCTCTTTTGGCACCTGTCCTCTGTTGCCAGGGGCTGGTGTGGCAGGATGGCTTGGGGTCTCTAGGGGATCACAGGAAAGGTGGAAGTGGGTCAGTTCCCCTAGGTGTGGTGTTGCTTAGACTGCAAAAATATGTTGAAGATAAAAACTATGATAAACGAGTAACAACAATCCATCCATCCATCCATCCATCCACTTTCTTTGCACCCTTGTCCCTTAGTGGGGTCGGGAGGGTTACTGGTGCCTATCTCCAGCTAACGTTCCGGGCGAGAGGCAGGATACACCCTGGACAGGTCGCCAGTCTGTCGCAGGGCAAGTAACAACAAAGTCTCACAATATCAAAGTCTCTTTGGCAGACTGAGTTTAATTAAATTCAGGTTAAATTTATGTAGAAACTATAACCTCGCCACAAGAAAAAACAATACTCTTGATCTTTTTTATGCAAATGTTAAAGACTCATATACATCCATTGCACTCCCCCCACTTGGCAGGTCAGATCATTACTTAGTTTCACTTATGCCTGTTAAACAACAAAAGGTTATTACAAAGACAATAAGGAGATGGTCCCCTGAGGATGTAGATACACTCTGTGATGCATTAGAAGCCACTGACTGGGAAATATTTTATAAAGCACGTGGCGAGGACACCGACAGCTTAGCTGTGTGCATCTCTGACTACATTGGTTTCTGTGTGGACAATTCTATCCCCACAAAAAAGATCAAATGCTACTCGAACAACAAACCATGGGTTACAAGAGCATTGAAAACTCTACTTAATAACAAAAAGAGAGCCTTCAAGTCTGGTGATCGAGCAAAACTCAAAAGCATACAAAAACAGCTGAAGCGTAAACTGTGTGAATACAGAGCTGTGTATAAGAGAAAGCTGGAAGAAAAATTCAAAAATAACAATGCTAGAGAGATTTGGACTGGGATAAGAGAGATCACAGAATTGAAGAGGAATGCTAACTGCCCTGCTGGGGGGGATCTCAAATGGGCAAACGAGATAAACCAGTTCTTTAACCGGTTTGATTCCCCAGTTCCTAGTTATAGCCCCTGTTCCCACATATTGTCTGCTTGTAGTTTCACGATTACTGCTGACCAAGTGAAAAGACAACAAGAGAAAATTCACCCCGGGAAATCCCGTGGCCTAGACAATATCAGCCCTAAAGTCCTGACAAAACAGTCAGGAAATATTTATCCTGTTTCACATATCTCGGTGGCCCTGAACCTTTTGCTAAGCTTCAAATTATTTAATTTTTGGGAAGATGTTGAGGTTTCAGAAAATTTCAATTCAGAAAGCTATGGCTGATTGGTTCATTCTTTTGATCTTGAAAGGAGAGGCGAGCTGATGCAGAGATGAGCTTCATGTAACCAGGTAAGAGGTAGAAGAGCTGCATCAGCTCAGCTGAACTGAAACAAAACTGAAGTTATTATCTTTGGACCTAAAGAGGAGCGAACTAGAAATTTTTAAGAAATGTTTCTGTATGTTAATCACTCTGATTCCTTTCTAGAGGGCCTCTCTGAGGAAGAGCAGTGACAGCAGCTCTTCACAGAACGGCCTGCTTTGACCTCTTAGATAGTTATAAAACCATCGCCGTGAAGATTCACAACTTGTCCTGCTTGATCCTGGGTCAGGAACTAGATAAGCTAGTGTTAGATTGATTGTGTTGTTAGTTAGTGATAATCTTGGCGCTGTGACTGTGTGATGAAGTGTCTTTCCCCCTCCCTTTAGAGTTACAGTGCTCTCTGTGATTAGGGATCCTAAAAACAATAAAAAGAGAGGGGCAGGGAAATGTGCTTCAGAGCAGCAGGAGATTTGTAACTGAAAGCACATCTCTGTCTGTTCTCCTCGCGAGTATTAAGACACTAACTTTCTCTCGTCTTTCCTGTGTTTTTGCTGTGTTTAATAGGTGTCAACTCTGACATTGGCCGATAGTTGGATGGGACTGAACCCTTTGAGGGATCCTTCTGGATCAGGATTGTGCGCCCTTCAGTTAACCATTCAGGGTGAGTCCCATTTTGTAGCAGCTGGTTCAGTTGAGCTGCCAGTCGCTCATGGAGGGCAGTGAG